TACACCCAAAGAAATGGTTAACGTAAAGTTGGATGCAAATTTTTTTCTTTATGCTACAGAAGATGAATACAACTTTTTCATCAAAAAATTATTAGGGGAAGAATTCTCTAATTTTTCAAATATTAAAGATGAAAAAATATTGGACTTAGTAAATATTGCTAAAAAAGTTTGCAAATAAGATACTTGATTTTTTTAAAAAAAATCTGTAGTAAGTTGGAATTTTGCCGATAGCTACATTTATATTTTTCTGAATACTTTGCTTTATTGTATTTGAATTTGAGGATATAAGGCATGTGATCACAAAGCTTAACGTTAATTATTTTATTAAAATAAGAATAATTTATCGCTATATATTTGCATGAAAATATAATTTTTATCACAATTATTCTATTTTATTCCAATACAGTATCACCAAAAAAAAATCAAAATTCAATTTTCAGAACAATTTTCAGTTTCCGAAGAATATCACGTAATAAAATAGTCTTATTATTCCAGTGCTAGTTTTATAATATTGATATAATTTATTCTAACGTTAGTATAATGTCGATATCAATACGTAATTCGGTAAGCTTTTAACTCTTAATTGAACATGAGACTTTATCAGGATAAAAACTAAATAAAACTCCTATGCCTATGGGAGGCCGTAGGAGTTCAAAAATCGAGTAAAAAAATTAAACCAGATTCTCACAATGTGAATTAACTAATATTAATTAATGTGAATTAGCTATATACAGTAAATTGTGTGAATTAACTATTGGGCAGATTATGATTTACTTTATTTTTTATTAAAAAATCATTATTCAAGAATTTAATCAGTATTCTTCATTCAGTCAATTCACAACAAAGAATAATGAATTAAAAGAAGCAATCATAAATCTAGAACAAAAAATAAAAAACAACATTATGCTAGGGCATCTTAAAAAAGCTATAAATGCATTCAAACAATGGGTATTTCCATTTGCACATGGGTATTTAGATGTATTAAGTTTGAAGGTAGATGATAATAGTGATATTGATAGCATTATACAACTAATAGGAGACTTAAAATCAAAAACTCAAGAACACTATACATTTATTAATAAATATGACAAATTTTTGATAAACAAAAAATTTTGTAGTGATTGTAAAACCACAAAATGCATAACACGTTCGTTAGCATTAATAATGAATTATATTATTTTGGCTCATAATATTGTAAACTCTAATTTTTAGGTTAATGTTAAGTGAAACATGAATTTATGAAGGAACCATACTGACGTAATTAGATAGTTTATTTGTGTAATGGTAACTGTTACATGTACGTATTAATACAGTAATATTAGAACCACTACGTACGTACATATTGGGGTATTTCATATACTAATTAATCATAATTATGTAAGGTAACATAGTAAAAATTACTAGTACGGATTTTTTTACATATTATTTAATATTTATGCACCCGTGTAGATCCTCTTATGACCAGAAAAATTATTTTACCAATCGAATTTCAAATTAGTTGTATAACAGGTAATGACCATTATTTAAATATTTGAATAAAAAAATCGGTATTTTTTACATAAATAATTTTTTGAATAGATTATCTGCATTTTGAACCCGTTGTATATCTGAATAGAGATTTGATGAAACAGAATCTTTTTTGTAAGCCATTCTATTTTCACTTCGAATGTCTTTTAATTGTTTATCAGTAAATTGAAATTTTTTAGTTGCCGAAAGGTGCATTTTTGATTGTTGGGTATCAGCTATCATGTTCGGATGAGTTTTCAAATCCCACTTGTTAAATAATCCCTCAATTTGTTGCTGGTGAACAATAATATACCAAAGTTTGTTTTTAATGAATTTATATAGCCGCGGGTATTGATAAAGTGAAACAGTTAACTCACAGACAAATGAACTAAATTCTTGGAAAAACATTTCATCTGTTAATGCATTTTTGAAACCAAAATCATTAAAGTTTTCTTCTATAATATCTATTTCAAGATATTTTGTATAACAAAGCTCTTTTAAACTAGGAACATTCGGCCAAGGCTTTTTAAGCACAACATTCCAATAGCTATGCGCAAATTGTTGTGCATTATCTCTACCAAGACGACACATGCTTAAGGAAAGGTGAAGCCAACAATTTAACCATTTCTGTTGTAATTCGAGCCCTTTTTGAATTCCTCGTTCTAATTTTTGAACCAATATTTCAATTTTTAAATCATCCATAACTTCCGTACTCTGCAGAAGCTCACCTCCAAAAAATGAATAAAGACCTTCCAAGGTACTTGTGAGCTTACTTGTTGACTTGACAATGAAATCCGGTATTTGGTGTGCACGACGACCAGATGGTAAACATTTTAGTGAGTTGTCTGACTCTACAATTCTCGGTTGAGGATCGTAACCGACAAGGAATTCAGCAAATGGACAGTAAAATTCCTGGTCAAATTTCACTAGATATTGTATTTCGATATTCAATTCCGGGTCGTCAAGCCAATTTTGAAAAAGCTCCTATTTTTGAAGATACGAACTTGGAACTTTTTTTAGATTTCTTAATTTTGAAAGGAACTATGCAACAAATTCAATATGAACTTCACGCCTTTCAAGAAATTGTTTAGCCGTAATTAATTTATATTGCTATCATGATCATAGAGGATGCTGATATTTATCTAGTTGATAATCGAGCCGTTCTTTATAAAGACTCTTGATCGTTTCACCTCTCATATTTAGTGGTGAATCTTTATCACTATGGTTGTAACCATCATGTAACAACCATGTCAAATAAAGGAGGTTAAATGGATGCTATGTTTTGGAAAATCTGATAGTTGCTAGAAGTTTACCGAAGGCCGTTTCTTCGAAATTGTTTAAAATTAAATGTAGAACATGTAATCCACAAGGAATCCAAAAACAATTACTATTAGCCAATCGATTAAATTTTGTTACAGCACCTCCAGCCGAGCCGCTCATGTAATTTGTATTATCGGAAAGAAAAGTAAGACATCGTGAAATATTAAGGTTATATTTCATACAAGATTCAAAAATAGCCTGACTAACTGTGTTGGAATTACAGCGTTGAAGGTCTTTTGTTTTTAAAAGCATGAAATCGGGTATATTTTTTTCTGAGTTCCAGAATATGAAGCAATTTACTAATATTTTTTTTTCACCTTAATCTGATTCATCTACCATTATACCGAGTGTGAAATAAATTGACTGATCGGCTTCCTGGAGTATATTTCTCACATGTAATTCTGATACCTTACGATTCCATCGGCTAATAGTCGCAGCAGAGATCCAAAATTGTAAATTATCTCCTGTTAAAAAATTAAAAATAACCTTCATACTAGCTGCGGTGGTATTAAAAGATATTTGGCTGATTTGGAAAATCTGCATGGTAAGGTCAATAAAGTTTGTGTTATATTCTTTTTTATTTTTGCTAACTAAATTTCTAATAACAGTTTTCA